GGTGAGAACCCGGCGTGCTCCGTCCCGGCTTTGTAGGGATGCGAGGTCATTGGTCTAACGACAACGGCATGCACGACTATGAGTACACCCCCCCACCCCCCCAAATTCCCTTGTTCATCTCACCCGTCCGTGCTTGAGCTCGACAGCCCGCCTTCGGAACAGCGAAGGTTCGTCTTTTGAAAATCCTGCGAACAATATACCAGGTGCACCGTGGGCAGACATGAAGGCGTTATTGGGGTGCTCCATGCGATGCTAGTACGTTGGCGCAGAGACGAACACACGTAAAATTCGCGTTTGGAACAAGTACTTGCTCAGTGTGTGGGGGAAACGGATTCCATAATTGACTTGGGCCAAGGGGGGAAACGACGTACTCTTGTTGGGGGGGGGTGGGGGGGGAGCGGGGGGCAGAGAAGGGGCGGGAGGGACAGACTCTTGTCGGGAGGGGTGCAGGTGGTAAGCTGTTGAGCGGCAGGCATGACTTCTGCCGTGTTGCCACGGTCTTGTCCGGCATCCAAAGCATGTCAATAAACCCATGATGCTGATAAATCATGAATCCATCTTCCATCCACACGTTCACAATAGTGCAGTACATTGTGAAGGCTGCACGTTTGGAGAAGGGCTTTGCCACACAGGCGTGAGCACCACTATGATGGTTATGGTATGTTATAAATTGCACGGAACTTTGGCTCAGGCACCTCCCAAGGGCAACAGGCAGTGTCGGCTCAAGGACAAATGTGCCGGCAGAATGTCCCTCTGCTTGTCGCCTTCTGCCCTCTACATCTGAACGTTTGAATACAAGCCGATGTATATCTAATCCCCAACCGCTAAAACACCTACTGTTTTGTAAAACAGCAGTCAGTCCACCCCTTTTCTCACCTAGCGGATCAAACAGTCCCCCGCTCTCGACGTCAGCGCCGATCATTTCCCTTATGGACATTTCGATCCTTGCTGCAGAAGACGATCTGCTCCTTGTTGAGGAATGACAGCCATTTTGTGAGGGCCTCCTCCAGCAGCCTCTCGCAGCGTTAGGTCTCAATCTTCGCGCGGTGGGCGGTACGGCAAAGCCTCCACAGCCTGCAATGAGGCCAAGCATCATGAGCGTTATCTCTCGACCCATGGCGCTCTCTCTCTCTCTCTCTCTCTCTCTCTCTCTCTGAAGACGCAAATGAGGTGTCTTGGGCGTGCCTCCCACCTCCAAGGGGCTGAACGCTGAAGCAGGTGACCCTGAAGCAGCCAACAAAGAACCTGAGGCTTTTTGGTTCGGGGAAACCCGAAAGGTTTATTGCCCCGCATTTTTGTGTGGGAGCGGAGCGAGCAGTGGAGGGCTAGCTGCTAGTTGGCAGACTCCTACTGCTACAACACGAACCCGCTTGCTCCAGCAAAGATCAGCTAGAGCAAGGATCCACAACGACTGTCCCGGTGTTTTAGCTTGGAACTGGACATCTGTCAGGTGTGAGGGCAAGTCTATTTTCTATTTTGGACGCTCGTTGGCCGTGCACGTGACCACGAACACACGAAAACCAGCTGTAGCTGTGTGCTCGATGATCACCTCGCTTCTCTCTGTGTGCGACCTTAACACCGATGATAACAACAGGCCTCGTTGGCGTTTTGTCCCGGGCGATCCCCAGCAGCAGGAGTCATGGTGAAGAAGAAAGGAAAGTCGGGGCGGACGAGCCTGAAGCAGAAATACAAGATCAAGAAGAGGGTGAGAATCCAGGACGACGTGACGGCGGCATAATCAAAGACCACGTAACGAAGCAGCCATGTAGGGCCGCTGCTGCACCTGATGTAGAGTCATTTTGTGCAACCCTTGACCGTCAAAAGCATGATACCGTCAAGGAAGAAGCGAGTTCTTCGATCTCTTCGGGATTTCTGACTGCTACAGAAATGATACAGCGCGCACGGTGCCTTCTACCTTTCAACTGCTGTGGTGCTGAGCTATCGTCAAGCTGTCGATCACGTAGTTACTGCTTGTAAGAGATCTAGGCGATGCCGTCTACGTTTCTCTAGTGGCACCCGAGCCATGCCCATTGAAAAAAAGCGGACCAGGTAGGCTCCACAGACAACCCTAACTCCAGTCCTCTCTCAGGAAGATTGCTCTGATAACCACGTGCAAAATCTACGATGTTTTGGTGTTGATTGACATTCGCAGGAAATGTCCCGCTCATCGAATCCCTGCACTTGTCTGCTAAAACGGCAGTAGCCCCGCAGTTTCATACGATACTAGTGGTGTTGTAGCTCTGCTGGTCTGCCTGCCGACGATACGTGCGGCGAGTTCCGGGTAAGCCAGTGCCTTCATTGCTGTTGTGAAAACGGCGGTAGTTGCACCGCGTTTGTGCCCGGTTGTTGGTGCTGCCGCCGCAACCGCCGCCGCTGCTGCTTCTGCCTTGCCATAGGGCTGGTTGAAGCCCCTCTGCCTGTCTTTATTGTATTCCATCGGTCTTATCCTCGCCGAAACGCACGCTGGCACCCCAAGTGACCAGGGTCGAACCACTGAATATATTTTGCACCCGGTCATTGAGTGATGCATGTGCTCATCGTGTAGCAGTGTACCCGTGCTGTCTCCCGTGTGTTGAAACAACCAAACGTTTTGCTACGAACTGTAGCTTGTTCAACACGTTCCTTTGTCCCCCATCTCTTGGTTGAAAGGTCGCTGAGCATCACCGCAAGCAGAAGAAGGGCGCCAAGAAGAACCCCACCACCGGCCGCAAGGTGAAGGACCCCGGAATTCCGAACTCGCTCCCCTTCAAGGAAGAGGTGAGTTGCCTCTATCGGCGTTGAAGTGTCCACCAGCAAACATATTTTTGTGTATGTGTGTTTCTTCCAGTAGCACCGACCGCGCTAAGCGGCAAATCAACAAAAACATACGTCCGTCTCTAGCGGGATAATAAACGCAAACCCGCTTTCTGCAGTGTAGTGAAATGAGTGTTGACCGACAGGGCGGAAGCAGGAATTGGACCACCGTTAGGTATTGACCCAGATATACGTCGCTATTAATAGCTGTCTCCACGTCTCTTGTTAGTTGCATCATGGGCACTGCACCAGCAAGAAGCACGGTTGCCACCGCCGCCGCCGCAATAAATGTTACGCACCGTCTTGGGGGGTGTCAAAGTTGTCTCTGTCATCACCTTCTCAACGAATGCTGAGTGCTGTTTCTGATGCTTGCGCTGCAACTACTGCAGATGCTACTGCTGCTGCCGCTGCTGGTGCCACTACTCGAAGCCCTTTGCTTGAGCGTGTTTCCAACCCTTTCTCATATTTCTGCTTCGTGGATTTACTCACCCGCAGGTCCTGGCCGAAATCGCGTTTGCGAAAAAACGTGTCGAGGATCGCAAAGTTCTCGCCAAGGAAAAGCGAAGAGCGGAGATGGTGAGCCACAAGTTGGTACACACGCGTTTCACGTTTGCTCTCTTCAACTTGCAGTACCACGTCCCTCGGCTATTCTCTGTACCGAAGAGTTGGATGCGTTTGCTCTTCCATGTATACGGGACGATGCCACACCATGGTCGTGTCACTCACGCGTTGTATGCGGCATTCTGCACCAGAGGTAATATCCTTAGATGTTCCGTGCAAATACTAATATTTTGCTGATGTTTTCCTTTTGAGGGTCGGAAGTTCAGCCTTGACCGTCTCACGTCCACCCCCGTCTGATCGCACGTACCCCCCCCCGCGCGCTCCCATCACCACCTCAAATCCTTGCCGTGTGCTCACAAAGATGAAGAGGAGAGGGCTCACTCCAGACGGTCAGACGCTGGAGGGGCTCGTGTCCGGTGCGGAGAAATCCCAGGAGGAGTTCCAGAAGGTCGAGTCGGGAAAAGTCGTGGTGAGTTTCTGTAGGTCTTGAATGTCACTATTTCTCTCGAAGCCAGGGAGGAAATCTTGTTTGTTTCTGTCCGACTCATGGTCGGAGTTCCTTCGCAGAGTAACAGAACCGCGAGCGTTGGTGGACATCGCGAGCGATAGGTACAGTAGCTTGGTGGTTGTTGGGAGGGGGGNGGGGGGGGGGGGGGGGGGGGGGGGGGGGGGGGGGGGGGGGGGCGCACAAGAAAGGTTGTGCCGCGCGGCTTCTTGGTTGCTTGTGATCCGACTTTGCTGCTAGGAGTGTACTCCGTCGTTGACGTGTTTGGTGCGTGTATTTGTGTGTGTGCAGGCGGAGCACCAGGATGAGGACGCAAGTGTGCGGCACGGCCAGAGCTCAAGAAGGGCCTACTTCCGCGAGCTGAAAAAGGTACGTCACCAGTTTGGTGAGACAGATGCATTTCGGCAAGTCTGGGCCAGAAGAATGTAGGCATCACTCGTTTTGCACGCATCGCCCTCATGTAGCTCTCTTGATGGCCTGATGCACCCGCGGTGGTGGCTTCTAGGGCAGGAATGGATTGTTTTGTCTTGTCGAAGCCACGAGATTTTTTTCGGTCGTTCGTCTCTTCTCCGACACATGGTTATTGTTGTTGTGGTTACTGTTGTTTTCGATGTTGCAGGTGGTGGAGACGGCGGACGTCATTCTAGAGGTTTTGGACGCGCGGGATCCACTGGGCAGCCGCGCTCAGGCGGTAGAGGCGGCAGTGCTGTCGAAAGCCAGCAAGAAGCTCGTGCTCGTTCTCAACAAGGTGCGTCGGAGGTGTTGGTGCTGTCGGTGGGTGCGCATGTTATTGCTAGCATGCTCTGGTTAGGCGTTTGTGTTGTGCTGTTCCTGCTGTCATCGTCGCTGTCGTTGGTGGTGGTGGTGGTGGTGGTGGTGGTGGTGGTGGTTTTGCTGCTAGGTCGTGTTGTTACTCTCTGTTGCTGTTGTTGGTTGGCGGCCGCTGCTGTTGTGTTTCACTTTTTGCTGATCGCCGTTACGGTACTCTATCTCAACTCACAAATATCCGTTTGTCGCTCTTGCTCTTTTTTTAATTACTAGGTGGACTTGGTGCCGAAAGATGTGGTCGCGAAGTGGCTCAAGCACCTCCGACGGTCCTTCCCCGCTATCGCTTTCAAGGCCTCCACGCAGGAGAGCTCCTCCTCCATCAAGCAGACCAAGGTGAAGACAAAACTTTCGCAGACGGTGGAGGGAGGGCATGGAGCACACGTTTTTATTGAGGGGGCAAGGAGGGGAGGGAGGGGATGATCAAAGGGGTGGGGAGTACGGTGCACACAACTGTACGCTATCGGTCGATGTTGCATGGTTTTCATTTAACAAGACCCACGCTGAAGCTCGTTGAAACCACGATAAGAATCGAGCATAGGCCAACCGCGACAAGAGTCATGCGCAGGTCTCTCTGAGTCGCGTGGAATCTCCTCCCTGTTGATGCTGAAGTGCCTTGGGTCGTGAAAGGTGTGCCAATCTATTGGGTAGGGTAGGATAGGGTAGGTCAGGGTCGATTGTTTTTGGTCATCGCGGAAAGATAATCATGCCGCATGCCTGGTGTTAGTTCTTGTGGGACTCGGTGAAACATGAGGTGTGCTTGTGCTCCACAACTTGAACCTCGAGTTTTGAAACTGTCTAGTTGGTGGTCTTGCATTGGCCCTGTGTATCAGTAGCGAGCTCCAGGTACCTCGAACGCCCTGGTGCTCGTTGTTACGAGATGCCGTGACCCGTGCTAGTGGGCAACCGCCGTGCGTCTTTGTTGTTGTTTTTGTTGGTCTGGTTTTGTTGTTGCGGCAGGGCTCAGCCGATAAGGCTGCGGATGGAATGCTCAACCGGTCGGGCGCGGTGGGCACGGAGGCCCTGATGGGCGTGCTGAAGAACTACTGCCGCAGCCTCAACCTCAAGACGGCCATCACCGTGGGGGTCATCGGGTACCCCAACGTCGGAAAGTCTTCCCTCATCAACTCGCTAAAGAGGTGCGTGCACGGGGAAAGGGAAGGGAGAAGAGAAGGTGAGGAGGGCGAGATTGTGTGGTGCGCGAAGAGAACGAGAGGGGTAAGACACACAAAGTGGGTGTGTAGGACGAGAGAGATGCCAATTCTCACAATGCGCATGTTCACAAGTTGGAGCCATTTCAGTGTTCCGACCGCCTGTGCTTGTTGTGTGTCGTTACAGAGCTCTTGGTGCGTCATGTTCCTTACGCTGGCGGCCGGAGGCCGCTCCTATTGTGTATGTATGTGTCTTTTTCGATAGCATCGACCGCGCTAAGCGGCGGACCAAGGAGAAGACGTCAGTCTCAGTGCGGTTGAAAACACAGAACACGTGTAGACGCCATGAGCCGGGAGTGAGTGCGTGTGTATGTCGTTCTTTTTTGCGTGTGTGTTACCGGCTAGCGCTCGAGACATGTGCGTGCCTTCTGTGCGTATTATGTTGATTCTCGCAGATTATTCCTTCTCTCGTCTGTTCTATTGATTCCAAGCCAACCCTCCCTAGCCCTCTTACAGTCGTTTGCTATGTCCAATCACTCCTCACGTTCAACTTTCTTGAGATGGTCTTGTTGTTGCAGGGTCCATCCAGTTCTCACCTGCTGGTGCCCTTTCTTTCGGGTTTTCTCAGCCTCGTACTTTCTGGTTGCGAAACGAACGGGCTGCGGCAGGGTACTGGCCGTAAAACGCGAACGAACTTTGTTCGTGTTGCAGCAAGCCGTTTCATAACCGGTCGCGTAACCACGTTGCATGAGATATATTTGTGCCGCAAACAGGTTACATGCTGACGACTGTGTGTATGTTGCATGCATGTATGTGTGCAGGTCGAAAGCGGTGGGTGTGTCGGCGACGCCGGGCTTCACGAAGTCCATGCAAGAGATACACCTTGACAAGACGGTGAGGACCCCCAATATGTGGTGAAGTTACGACAAGGCTGTGGTCTGTGTTCAGTTCTGTACAGTAAAATTTGTGGTGTGCTGTCCTTCCTTGCCTATGTCTTTGTCAGCAGTTGCGAAGTCACGCGCGCCGGAGCGTTTGGTAGTGCGAGGCAAATGCCTATCGCAGGGAAGTCGTGAAATAATGAACACAGCAGGATTTTTGTTTGCGAGGTGTCTGCATATGTAGATCACCCGATTTTTTTTCCCAGCCCTTGCGCTGTGATTGCTGCTGCTCCTTTTCGGACTGGTGACATATCTGTCGCCCGACCACGCCAGAAAGAGCATGCTTGCGCACGTTGCCGCCAATCCTACCACCGTTTCTAAAGGGAACATGTTGTGTACAAGCTCTAGTCCTGAGCTCATACCTAGCTCACTGGTCCTGTGCGGGTTGGTGTACGGCGCCCTGATACAACGGCGCGTAGTGTCAAGGAGGCGCTCAATCACTCACCCAGCAAATTGGCCGTCGTACTTCCGGCTCCACACCCGTTACACACACACACCCCGCCCCCCTTTGCGGTTATTTTTTGTACACTGCTGTCCCCATACGGCGGTGTCTTCCAGGTGAAGCTGCTGGACTGTCCGGGTATCGTTTTCGACGACTCGGACGCAGGCGCGACCCTCCTCAGAAATTGTGTGGACGCGGAGGCCATGACGGACCCCACGCCGGCGGTCGCTGCTGTCCTCAAGCGCTGCGCGCCGGCGCAACTGATGCAGGTGTGTTTCGTTTCTCTTACTGTCATCGACCGCGCTACCCGGATGACCAATGAAAAGACGTCAGTCTCGGCGCCGTCGAAACACATGAAATGTTTGTAGAGGTCAGTGTTTGTGTGTGTGTTGCTGTTGTGTGTTGGGTTGTTGTTGTTGTTGTTGTCTTCACATTAAAAACCGTTCCGTCCTCTCTGCCCGTACGTTCTTCTGTCCGTACTAGTCCAACACTTGACGGGGTCCATTCCCGTGGTCACAGGCTAACTTACCCAACAATGGTTGGTTCATTTTTTTCTTGAATCGAAAGGGGAAGTGGGGGTGCTGTCGCTGGGTGTTGGTCGTTGCTAATCCCTGCCTTGGCTGTTGTCGTTGTTTGGGTAGCGACACGGGCTTTGATGCTGGGATTGATGCGAGGTGAAGAAGCAATTCTGGCGTTCGGCATCGGGCGCTGCATCGCAACCGTCCGAGCAACAGCGGTCAGTCGTAGGTGATTGTGGTGGTGGTGTTGTCGTTCTGATGTCCGCAATTACCTTCGGGCATATGTTACTTCTGCTACCGCTCTGTTTTTCCTGAGCAGGTGTACAGCATCCCTCGCTTCGACCCGGACGACGCCTTCGCCTTCTTGTCTCTCGTCGCGAGGAAGATCGGCAAGCTCAAGAAGGGCGGCGTTCCGGACAGGGTGCAAGCGGCCAAGGTCGTGCTGAGGGACTGGAACACGGGGAGGGTGAGACGACGCGACCTGTTGTTGCTGATGGTGGGGGTGGTGGTATTGGCATAGTTGGTTCCGTTCTTCCGTTCTCAGGGGCTGGAACAACGGGAGGATGAAAACATGCGGTTTGTCTATTTGAGTCTCGTTTATTGGTCAACCCATCCGTAGCCGGCCTGCCCCACGAATGCGCTGAACCTCGAGTCTTATGGGAATGTTCTGGAGTTTGTGTCGGATGCATGCAAAATGGAGTGTCACGAATGAAATCGCTCTCGCTCTCTCGTGGAACACAAGTCTTGCTTCCCGTCGTCTCTTCTCGGCCTGTGGCATGTTTGATCTCCCCTGGGTGCCTTCCTCCAACAAAAACGAAAACATGAAGCAAACTGTGTCTGTCTTTCTCTCTCCAATCCCCCCTCATCCTCCCTGTCTCTCTGGCATACACGCCTTCCCGACTCTCCGCCTTTGCCAAGGTCCCCGTGCATCCCTGGAACCCAAGGGACCTTGCGCATCCCCCCCCCCCGTTGTTCCCGACCCGTTGCGATGTATACATGATCCTTACATAAGTTTCACGCGACCAACACCCTCGTCCCTCTGAACCGCCATAGGTACCGTTCTTCACTGTGCCCCCTGAGGACGGCAACGGGGGGGGTGCTGCAGGGGCCAAGGCCGCCGAGGCGATGTTCGTGGAGGGCTTCGGAAGGGAGTTCGATGTCGAGGCCGGGGACGCCGAGGTAGTTTTATTTTGCGTTTTTTTTGTTTTGTTTTTCGTTATTTGGTTTTGTCGTTTTTGACATGAGCGCACCCTCGGGAGTTTGAGGTATCGTTGTGCGGACATAACATGCAACGTCCGGGTTGATCTTTGGCAAAATAACCTGGCCTGGTGACCGGGGTTGCATGTGTCTTTTGTTGCGAGGAAGGTGCGGAGCGAAAGGGGTGAAACAAGTTAGTGTTCCTGCGCGGCCGAAGACGTTGCATGCGGTCGAGTTGTTTACCTCATGGTAGTCAAAGCAACATTAATAGACCCAAAGTACATTGGTAAATAGAACGTACCAACCACATCAGCACCCGACACGAGGGTCGTCATGACGATCAGAGTGGTGGTGGTGGTTGTTGTTGTTGTTGCTGCCTGGTAGAGACTTGTTTTGCGACAGACTATAACGATGGACGATATCACAAGGGTACGGTACTACTGTTGCACAAGTACCAACGACGATCAAGGTTGATCAAGTCACGACGATGATCGCGACGATCATGCCGGGATGGAATTTAACAATTGAACCGCAGGTGCTGGGCGGCCTGCCCGAAAGAGACCCGATGGACTTCGTATCCATGGAGGCGGAAGAGGTTTCCAACGGGAAGAGCTGGGCGGAACGGGAGCAAGAGCTCTCTGCCGACAATGATGGCATGGACGAGGACGATGACGAAGATGGAAATAAAAATGACGACGAGAGCATAGAGGTACATACATAGTGCCGTTCGTAGTATGTGCTTGCTGGCAACTTGGACCTTGCAACCTCCTGGGACAGTGCGGTACTCTCTCAGGAAGCCAACGGGACACTGGGGCTGTTTGCGTAAGGATGAAAAAAACGGTTGATAGTTCGTTCGTGTATGTACAACCGATCCGTTCGAAATAGAAGGTCTGCCTCTCACTCCCACCATTGTCCTCGGTGTATAAGGAAGCTTCTGATGAGAGCTTCCCCCCCTCTCACTCCCCGTCACGGCTCGATGATTGGTTCACCAGGAACAAGAGAGTGACGACGACGATGACGATACGGCCACAACGTCCAACATGACAGAAGCGGTAGCGGCACCGGGGAACGACGGAGGCAAGAACGACAAGAGGGCCGCACCCAGAGCGGCCCTTGATGCTATGCTTGCGGGAGACGCGGCCATCAACCCCCAGGTAAGCCGCCACACGGAAGTGCGGTATGAGGAACGTGGAGGAGCGGAGGGAGTGGAGGTGTTGGGATATTCTGGAAATGATGCACGACGGTTTCTACACCCAAAGACAGTGGGAAAGTGGGGGTGCTATTGTGAGCGGTCTCTCAGAGTGGGCTGGCATGTGTGTGCTGGCTTTGGGTACAAAGATGGGTGAACAATGTTTTTCGTCAGTGACACCTTCTTGTTTATGTCCGTTTGTCACATGCCAAACTACAAAAAATACGTGGCCATCCCCGCTTGGTAGACGCACTCCGGCGTTTCGGACTGCCGTAGTGGGACCGCTTTTATATCTGAAACAAGGACGCATGACCCGTAGGGTCTTCCTTCTTCATGCGGGCGTGATTAGGAAAATGCTTGCATTGCGTAGATGCCAGTGATAAACAACATAGTCCAGAGATAAACGCAACCAAACGGCGAGCGAGCGAGGGAGCGAGAGGAGCGAAAGACAAGAGATCCGATTTTTCCAGGAAACGCGCGTCTTGATCAAGCGTGTCTCGTTTTGTACTTTTCGCCACCCCCCGCCCGGCCACCCGGTGTTTGCCATCGGGGTTGGGTTTTCAACGCTTGGCAACGACGTTGTAAAACAAGCCGCCCCCCCCGGTGTTGCCATCGGGATTGGGTTTCGTCGCTTGGCAACGACGTTGTAAAACAAGCCAATTCACTTCGTGAACTCGGCAACCAGATTACCG